GTGTGTGTGTGTGTGTGTGTGTGTGTGTGTGTGTGTGTGTGTGTGTGAAATCAGTCTGAAAGAATCTTAATAGTTTCACTGTGCATTCTTTCTGATGTTTACTTTTTCCTTTCTCCATTGAGTAACAATGAAATTCATCTGATGAGGCAAATCATATATATTTAAGCATTAACTGGAGAAAGTAAGGGAATAATCATAAATGAAAAGATGTGTGCAGAGGCAGAGAAGAATGACAGGTAGGAATCGCACCTCGATGTGACGGTGCAACTGAGAGGTTCAGTGTCCTGAAAGCAGGTTTGGAGGTTAATGAGGTGATAGAAATATTTACATGACTTTTGGCGAGAAGCTTTTGGAAACCTTGATTGTAAGGGTTATAAAAGGAAGATGGAAAAGGTTTAATGGGACCCTCACACCCAAAGGATATGACTGAAAGCCACAATTACATTTTGTGTTACCTTTTAGGACTCCCTAGCCTTTGTACACAACATTGCTGTCATCACAAATGTGATTGCAAGCATTCTTGTTTTAGAGCTTATATTAAAACAGTTTTCTTGAAAACCATTTTACAAAATAAATAATATATGTGGTTATCATACGTGTTGCAGCCCACTTTCTTAGCATAGCCCGTAAAGGCGTATTACTATTTGTGTTTTCTTAGCTGAAATCACTTTCTTCTGTGTTGTTTCAGGTGCAGGCAACCATAGGTACTTTATGGGATACCTGTTCTTCTTGCTTTTTATGATCTGCTGGATGATTTATGGTTGTATTTCTTGTGAGTACAATGAGTTTCTGCCTTCTTAAAACATAAATGTTTAAAAAAATACATGTTTATATACTTAGCTTGTATTTACTGTATAACAAATTAACAATAGCAAAAGTTTTAACAAAATTACTGTTTGGGACATCTAATAAAGAAAAAAGTGAGGTACCTACTTACCAAATGTATTCAGTGTCTCACACAAGCAAACGGTGGTCAGAGAGCCACCTTTTAGTGTGAATGCCCTTTGTTGGTTTAATAAGCTTTGAAAAGCTTCTGGGTGAATGACACCAACAGTTCACAGTCAACAGGCTTGCTCTACTAGCCAGAGTGGAACCCAGTGACCTGGTAGCTCCTTTCCCACCAAACAGTTGAGAAAACAAACTTAAAATTAAGTTTGCATAAACTTGAAATATTTTAGAGTTTGCTATAAGTTATTGCCTACTGGGCAGTGTTAGCAGGTTTCAGAAGTTACTTTCTAACGATAAATTGTCTCTTGCCTTATCAAGGGGCCTAGTGCATTGAGAATTTAGGCGAAGATGCTGTTTTCCATGCTTCTGTGTGTGGAAGTTGCAGCATGGATCTTGGCTTGAAAATCAGTCTCAGAAAGACTTATTAGTCCTATCTGCAGAGATAGTAATAAATAAGATTTCCAAGTAGAGATGGAGAAAAGATTTGGTCTAGGAACTTCACCTAATTTTCAGATCAACATACATAAGGGGGAGCAGTTTCCTACCAACAAAAGTCATTATCTCTATTACTCTTACGCCAAATTTTGTGTTAGAAAAATCTTACCTTACTGAGTTGCTTTTTATCATTTATTTTGTTTAAGGACAACATTCTCTCTGGTCCTGGGAACATGTTTAGTCTTCGCTGGCAGGGATTTTTTTTTTTTTTTTTTTTTTTTTTTTTTAAGTTTGGCAGCTGTCTTCCCATTTTTTGCCCTGGTGTATTTTTATTGATGTATTATAGAATTACTAATACAGAAACATTTGTTCTGTGTCATGAATTAAATCTAGATGATTAGATGTGTTCCTCATGGTGTCAGCGTACACCTGAGGTGACTGGAAGGGTAAATTAATGGGGGTCACCTGTCTTCCGATTTTAGACTGGGGACTTCACTGTGAGACCACTTACACGAAGGATGGATTTTGGACCTACATTACACAGATTGCTACGTGCTCGCCTTGGATGTTTTGGATGTTTCTGAACAGTGTGTTTCATTTCATGTGGGTGGCCGTGTTACTCATGTGTCAGATGTACCAGGTATGTGCATGTGCTTTTTTCTTGCTGTGCTAGCTATAAAACATGTAAAACTTTTCTTTCTAGCCACTCAGGCTTGGTAAGGATCAGTTTTGTTGTTTTTCATTTGCTTTTTTCTTTCTGCTTTATATTCTGCTTTCATCAGAAGCTTTTACTGGTGATTCAGATATTTGCAGTTGGACATGTGTGAGCTTACCTTTTGATACCATTAATTTTATGTTCATTTTAATGATACTGTTTTAGTATGTATAAATACTAGTATAATATACTCTATAAATATTAGTGCAATAATAGTAGTATGTATAATACTTTTATTCAAAAATCCGTAAGGGATCTTTCTCTTCTGCGTTTTGGGACAGTATGCCTTTGTAGACCAGGTTGACTCTGAATTTGGCACCTTCCTGCCTTAGCTTTCCTCATGCTAGGATCACAGGCATATGCCACTTACCTCCTAAGATTCTATTGAGGGAGGCTGTCTGTGTTCATAGTGTCTACTGGTGTATGTGCAGGGTTCACATATTTAGTATTTACATTGTATATTATGTTTTTGTATTTAATTGGCTGCTTTTTTCTGTAAACTAGGTTAGTGATCTGTGGAAAATCAAACACAGATTGATTTTTTTTTTTAATTCTGTGCTAGTTCTTTTGAGGTTTCTGTTTATATTAAATATTCAGAAAAGATAATGGACGAATTTTTCTTTATTCTTAGATAACCTGTTTAGGTATTACTACCAATGAAAGAATGAATGCCAGGAGATACAAGCACTTTAAAGTCACAACAACATCTATTGAAAGCCCATTCAAGTATGTATATTTTTTAAATGCAGTATTTTTCTCTGTTACATGTTAAGAAAGCAAACTTAACATAATGCCTAGCGAACACATTAAAGGGAAGTATTTTCTATAGTCCAACCTCTGAAGTAGGGATGTTTCTTTAGCTGTGCTTAGACTAGATTTAATTATTAATGAATTTAAGGTTTCTGTAGAAGAGACATTAGTTTATCATAACACCATGATGTAGAATCTGTCATTTTAGCTGAATAAACAGTTATACTCTTACTTTATACTGCAAAGTTTACCTGTGGCCTGATGCAAAGAAGTAAAAGTGCACTAATTACATGAAATACTTAAAGGTCAAGTTTTGTGTAAGCTGCTAGCGATCCCCAAATTTCTGTAGTATGATCAATTATTGTATACTTTTAGAAGGGAAACAGACTTCTACTAGAGGTACAATAATTAAGTATGATGTACAAAATGGACTGCTTTTCCAAGTGTTACTGAGGTCTTGAAGTCCTTGTGCTCACCTTGACATTCTTTATAGATTGTCACTTTTATTAAAGGCCATTGGCAAAATCAGACTTGAACATAATTAACTTTCACCTCTTTGCTCAATTTTGGACCTAGTTTGGCTTATTGGCAAAAAGCCAGTAATCAAGGAAGGATGGTGTGTGTGTGTGTGTGTGTGTGTGTGTGTGTGTGTGTGTTAGAAGCAAACAGTGTATACAGCATTGGAGTGAAGCAATTGTAATTGTGTAGTATCTTAAATTAGCAAAAGAATAAAATAAATGCTGGTAGACATGTAGAGAAACATGCAAGCATATCTATATTGCAGTGATAAGTTACATCTTTCTTGCAAACGGCCTGAGTTTTTAAGCTTAGAAAAAAAATGTTAACATGGAAGTCATCCTAAGTCATTTGTACTAACTGAATTCTCCTTTCTTTTGGGGTCTGATTTTAGCCATGGATGTGTGAGGAATATTATAGACTTCTTTGAATTTCGATGCTGTGGCCTCTTTCGTCCTGTTATCGTGGACTGGACCAGGCAGTATACTATAGAATATGACCAAATATCAGGATCTGGGTACCAGCTTGTGTAGCAGCATCTTTATCCTAGGAAACAATGTTGCTGAATGGTGCCTGAAGATTGTGTCTGTCCGTGTCTCTCTCACTCGAATCCACATCCTTGGAACAAATAGCATGCTATATGTAGGGCTAACAGTGACTTTTACAGTCTTTTTTTTTTTTTTTTTCAGTACTTTATTAACAAAAGCAAACATGGACAGAACACACTGCCACTTCTAGGAAGAATAAAGATCATAAAAAGAATTTTCACAGTTCTTAATATAGGAATTCACATCATACTCAAACTTGTTGATTTTGTTTTCATAATTTTTTTCATGAAAAGTGAACTTACTCTGTTACTAGAGATGGCATACCAAGGATAAATGTTCTTATAACTAAAACTCAATTTATGTTATATGGCTAAATTGTATTATGCAATCTTAAGAGTATTGCATTTAATTCCAGGAAAATTGTCTGAAAATGATGACTAGTATTATGTACATTTTGGATGTACATGTAAATACTGTGATGAAATCATGTGGTTTTATTAGAGATCTACTGTACTGTGTCCCCAAAGGCACAAGAAAATAATGTTCATGGAAACGTGCTCACTGTTCTGTTGCCGCCAGCTGTTGCAGTGCTGGTTTATTTCTAGTTCAGTGAAATAATTTCTAGTAACCTTGCTCTGAGGTCTCCCGGTCTGATAATAAAGCACTTGCATGAGTTTACTAAGTCATAATATTTTGTTGAAACTTAAAGCCCTACTAAGTGCATGATACACTACATAGAATGTGTACTCGCAGATACTGTCCAGTGAAGCATAAATTAGGATTTAAGTTCATGTGCAAAACAGCCCAAGTTTTTAAAAAGTTCAAGTTGATTTTCAACAAGAGGCAAAACAAATAAGCTAATACAAAATTCTTTATTAATAGAGATAAATGGATATGCTTCTTTTTAAATTCTGAGCTGAAAAATAAATTGTAGACAAATAATGATGTCTAAGCTAAAGATGAAGCATGATCTCTGTACATAGCACAAGTGAATAAATGAAAAGCTAATGGAATATTCTTTTTTTAAAATGACCTATCAGAAAGTAGAATTTAAACCCCAGGGTTATTTTAATTTTGCCAATATTGAATATGTTTTGAAGTTTGTAATGCTTTCTGAAATATTCTCAGATTTTACTGTTAAATGTGATATACTGATTAAGTTGTGTTGTAGCATTTCCATACCCTCATGAATTGATTTGTCACTGCTTCCATGAATATTGTTTACAGGGAGACGTGGTTTAGTCCTCTTAATTGCTGTAGCAAACTGTGGTTCGAGCAACCTGTGGGAGGGGCTGGGGGGAAGGGTCAGACTGACAGATCCTAGACCAGTGTAAAGAATGTGTATCTGTATATAAATAATTTATCAAATAGTTTTCTCTTTGTGTCTATATGTGTTAGTGTTTTTAAAGCTGCTCATTTCATTTTGTCCAACCAAAAAGAAAAGGGAGATTTTATTAATGAGCTTCTAGTGATGTTCAATATTGCTGTTAATAGGCACTATACCCTGCAAGTTCACTGCATGTCCAGTGCTAGGTTAAAATTAGTATTCCCTGTAAAATGCTGGTTACAGGTATTAAAGCAATCTAGTGGTATACCCGCCCCTGCCTTAGTAAGAGGAGCAGCGGATATGTACATAGTTGATGCTCAGTATTTCCAAGCACTACCATTTTATAATAATTACTGTGACCATATGTTACCCCCCCAAAAAAATTACCCTTATTGTACTTGAGGGTTTTAATATTGGAATTGGCATATGTACTTTATTTTTGAAAACGGAAGAGATGGGTGTGGGGTGGTAATAGCATTGTACCATTTTGTCATAGAATGTAAAAAATTGGTCAACTGTACAAATGTCTGCTAGTTTTGGCTATTATTGGGGGAAAATTTAGGTAATTTTTAAACTCAAAGGTTATTTATAAAATGCTAGGATTTGTTTTAATTTTGTATTTCGAGTCACTTCACAGGAAGACTCAGTTGCAATTTTTATCAGATACATTTTTATCAACAGCTAAAGATTTTGGTGGTTCTCTCAGTTTGAGTCAGAATGTTGTTACCATCTTCTTTCTTTGTGGTACAGTATTCTTTCAGTATAAGAGATGCTTCTCAGTAAAGCAGCAAACCCCTGTAGATGTGGAACTCCATGGAAATTATCTGCAAGGAGATGCTTTTACTACCGACCTTTTCGTAGTCTCAGTGCATCAGTAACAGGACAGCCAGGTGGCTTGGAGGCAGCTGTGCAGCGGGTAAGGCTCCTGTGTAGAGTGTAGAGCCAGTTTAATCCGGCTTGTGAGCTGTGAATGAACAGCTCTCCTCTCTCAGGGACAGAGTTCTTACTGGTTAGTTGGATTCCTTAAGGAAGGAGGGACTAATTTCTTAGCTCTGAACCTAAATTCTTTGGAGTTTTTTTTTATCCATGTTTTTGTTGTCTGTAGTTTATTTTAAATACTAGGCATAAAGAAGCATCCTACTTAAGCTATGAATATTTTTATTTTATATTTTATTTATAACTGTGCCAAGTATTATTTTGCTACTTACTGTGTTACTCTGTGGAAAGAAAAACTTGTAAAGTGTTTAATAAATTAGTCCTCCTTACATAATTTAAACCTGTCAAATTTTGTAAAATATTAATCAAAATAAATATTGACTCTTAAATTGTGGTGTCTGCTAAATTCACTTCGAAGAAATCAAAAGTGTAATATGAAAAGATTCTATATTTCTATCTTGATCAAATTGAAGTCAAGTGAGGAGTTCTTAGGAATTTGCAAAAGTAAAACTGGTGGTATTCTAAAGTTTCTAGCTCCCTGAGTATGTGTGCAATTCTTTTTCAATAAAAAGATAGCTTTTTTTTTTATTACATGGAATTAATAAGGACCTCGGGAAATATGTAAATCCGAAGTTTTAATGTATATGTGTATGTCTAAAGCATTTTAGTAAAATGATATCTACTGAACTTTGATCCTGGTTACTTCAAATGCCAGGCATGGCAAAGGAAGCACCTTTACAAACTTGGAAGGCAGAATTGTGCTGAGATGCTTTTAGTACCGACCATTTTGTGGTCCCAGCGCATCAGTAACGCCTGTCATCCATGTGGTTTCCTGTGGTCTCAGAGGCTGGGGCTATTCATCAGGGGTAGTTTGAAGCTGGACTAACATTCGATTCATAAATAACTTTATGGTGTGAAATAGAAGGGCGCCAGCACTATCTGTAGCTCAAGTGACAATGTTTTGTGCTCTCCTCTTCACTATTCACATGTCTCTGTCCTTAACAGTCCTTGCCAGATTGGTAGGCCTTTTCTGTGAGATAGCTATCTGATTCTAGTTTGTAGAGACATCTGAAAAAGTGGTACATTGCAGCCCATCAGCTTACACTTTGTTAAATACATTTGTGGTTTTTAAAATAGGAAACCTGTAGTGCTGGTAACTCAAGGAACCAAATCTGATCCTCAGAAAGCTTTTACCTCTGACTGGACATGCTCTGCTGAGTAGTCTCACTCAGCTTAGTCTCTGTCACCACACGTGGCTAGAGCTGATGAACTTCTGCCTTGTTGCTAGCTGGCTATGAACCTGCCTGCCTCTGCTTTCCAGGTAGCAGGGATTATAAATATGCACCCCCACACCTATCTTGATCAAGTTAAATAGATGACAATAGTTTAGCATCATTTATAAACAATTATAGCATCAAAAGGCTCATTGTGGCTTGGAGCAGTAGATTTAGTTTTAGCAAATTTGCAGCTGCTAGGATCTGTAGATTTATAACTACCAAATTTAGAAATTTCTCAGTCATTCTTCAGATATCTTTGTTTCTTCCCTCAAGTTTCAGGTAGGCAGTGCCCACTACTTACATGGAGTGGCGGGGTAGCAAGTCCTGCTTATAGCACTTACTTCCACTGTTGTCTACATGCTCTTTCTGTTGGGACAGTTTTTGTTTCCTGCAGTCTAGTCTGCTGTTGCTGTTAATCAGTATTCCATCTTGTACTCTGTAGTTTTTCAACTTTGATACCTGATTTGGAAGTCTATTCTTTTCTCTACTTTTTGAAGATGTTCTATAATCTCCCGTTTGTCTTTGCCTGTGGGCATTTGATAGTTTCCGCCCTCATAGACTGTGTGCTTCTAGTGGGTCACACCCCCCTTCATGCCTAGTAGTAATTTTTTTTTTTATTAACTGCTGGTATTTTGTATTAAATATTTTGAGCTTCACTCTGGAATTAAGAAACTTGGAGAAGTTTTATCTTTTTTCTTGATTAAAAAAAAAATGTTAGGTAAGGCTAGAGCATTGCTCAGTTTATTATGCCCAACCAAGGACCATGCATAGAGAGGACCTAGGCCCCCTGCACAGATGTAACTGGTAGGGAGCTCAGTCTCCATGTGGGTTCCCTAGTAAGGGGAGAAGGGGCTGTCTCTGACATGGACTCTGTTGCCTGCTCCTTGATCACTTTCTCCTGGCGGGATACAGTTGCCAGGCCACAGAGGACAAGGATGCAGGCAGTCCTGATGGGACTTGACAGGCTGGGGTTAGTTGGTAGGGGAGGAAGGCTCCCCCTTTCTGAGAACTAGAGGAAGGGTATGGGGGAAGGGGGAGGAGATGGGGATGTAAAGTGAATAAAAAACTTAAAAAAGAAAAAAAAAAGCTTTTTGTGTAAAGTATATTAGCCAAAATGCCAATGATGCTTTATAGCTCTGTGTGTGAGGAGTGGGGACTTTGTCCTAAGAGCAGTGGAGGCCAGAGGCCAGATGTCAGAGGTTTTACTTGATCAGCTTATGTTTGAGATAGGGTCTGAGAGGAGCTGAATTGGTGATGGTTGTAGCCTGGCAATCATGAGTTGAGGCATGTTGACAGCTAAAAAAGATCTGCCCGTGTGTGCATGGGAGTGGGACCATGGAAACCTGCTGGTGGCCATACCTCCAGAGAATGATAGCCTCATTCCTACCCCAAGCAGCTACTACCTGGCAATAGCTCCCCTTCAAGACAAAAAAAAAAAAAAAAAATGACGATTGGAGGGTGGTGTGTTTCAGGCATATGCTCATATTTTGTTGTATATCTGTATGAAATTCTCAAAAATAAAAATGATTGTAACCCCCCACAGTGCAAATGCTATCCTAGTGCACAAAGGAGTTGATTTGTCTTTGTTTTTTTTTTTTTAAATCAGGATAGTGCTTTTCACTGGAGGAAGGATTTTCCACTACCTAAAATCACAGCAGCTCCTCTGAAAGGTTAATTAAGAGCCGGTAACCAAGTCAAGCCAAAGTTTTATTTCGAATGTACAGGAAACGCTCTTAAATGCTAGTGAGTAAGCGGGAGTGCAGTGCTGTCCTGTCCAGCCCAGGACGCAACACTGGCAGAGTTTCACAGTTGTGAGTGCTGTAAGGCCATCTGCGTTTCGGCAACAGACTCTGTGTGACGCTTAGTTCTGGGTTTACGCCATTACTGAGCATGAACAAGGGCCCCTGCTCCTTGGCCATAGCCAAATCCCTTGGGTCCAAAGTTCTTTGCATAGCACCCTACAAAGGAAAGGGAGGGTTAGTCAGAGTTCATTAACTTTGCTACCACTGCTTAAGACAGATGTTGTGCAGTTAAAAACAAACTGTAGACTCTGGCAGAGGTCAGTTTAAGATACAGTGTGTGCTCTGTTAGAAGCATCCCTAATCTGAAGAAAGTCCAGGAGTTCCCACTGCAGTGTAGTCACAACCCTGCTGAGTTACAAGCACGAAATCCAGCTAAGGCACACGTCCGTGACCTTCGTGTGCTCATATGCTTTGCTTAAGCAGGAAGTCAGGAGGCTATCCTGAAGCTCAGCCTCATGAATGCACTATATAAGCACTTTGCTGTTTGGCCAGATTCCCAGCCCTGTGGGAGTTACACATAGGAATGGAAGAGTGTCTGCAGTAACACTGTACTATGTCTCCTTTTCTGTTTCGAGGGGACGTTTATGTCTGGTGCCTCGCTAAGCAGTAGGCTTTTCAACACTAACGGATAACAGGAACAAACTGATTTACCTTTACAATAGATTTCACCTTCTTTCTCAGTCAGAGTTGTAGACTCAAGACTCTTGCCACACTTGGCACACCGGAAACAGTTTTTGTGCCAGGGCTGGAAGAGACAGGTGTGTTAGGGCGTTTAAGAGGCCTGTTTCCTTTGGTATGATTTAGATGCAGCAAGTGGCTAGGGAAAAATCAACCCACGAGCAACCTCCTCATGCTGTGGGTTGGCTTAGCTGGAAAGCTGGACCTCCCTGTCCATACCCTACCCACCCGTAAAGGGCTGTTAGCCTGAGGGCAGGCTCTGGCTTTGCCACAAACCCAGTCTGCTCCTTTGAAGCTGCTGCCTTCCTGGCTGAAAATTTAGCAGCCCAGAGGAATCCAGCATTAATTTTTCCAAGTCCAGGTATCTAATGATCCTCTGATGTCCTGACCCTGGTACACTGCAGAACCTCTACAGAGCAGGTTGTTTGCAGTTTCGTCCTTTTCAATAGACTGCCTGGGGCTGTAACAGTTACCCGTTAGAGTCAGCAGTTTACCTTTCCAGCTCCGATTATCTTCTCAGCAGCATAGACGGAGTCCCCACACCTGGAACACTTCTCAGCACCTCCATATTTCTGGGCAAATTTAGAAGTGTTTGGATTTGTTGTAGGCCTGTGAGGTTGAGCACTGGAGGAAAGGGGGTAAATGAGGCAGTATTTCCTCAGATGTCCTTGTAAGCTAACCGGGGGCTGCAGGGCTTCACTAGCCCAGGGCATCGTCAGGGGTCCACAGGCTGCCACCGCAGGCAGAATAAAGAAAGAGCCCAGGTGTGCAAGGCTGAACTAACCTCACCTGTGTCTGCATTCATCGGTACTAGAAAAAGTCAAGCCAGACGGAAACTTAAGTATCTCCTCTCCCTCTGAGTGTAAAGGGAATTTACTTAATCCCTAGCACTTCCCATGACTGAGCAGTTATTTCTCCCCCTTAGTCCTGTCAATGCACTTGATCGAAGCTAGCTTTGTAGTTGACAGGAGATGCAGAGTCAATGTTAAACAATCCTGGCATTAAAAATACCTGCAAACACATTGGCTGTGTTAACTTGTTCACGACTAGGGAAGGCAAGCAAGTCTCACAGATTAGTTGCTCCATATATGTTTAGCAGGTGAAGTATGAGTCAGCTGCTTTCTTCATGGGAAATACTTCTGGAAATCTGCCTGTGATTCTGCTGTTTTACTTTACGTTTTCATGTGATAAGATGTCATATTTACAGGTAATGAGGGTGAATCACTTAACAGGTTTGTTTTCCCCCCATTCATAAGCAGGCACACCAGAGTATGCAAAACATCCTCCTGGCTAGGAGGGCATTTCCAAACCGGAGGTCGGCAGGTGCTGGTGCTGGCTGCGTGACAGCGCTGTACTGTGCAATACGCCGCTGAAGTACACACATTAGCAAAGTCAAACAAACTCTTAAAATGCTGGGTTTTGTTTTACACTTATTTTTCATTGATGGCAGTTTATTCACTTTGTATAAAATGCTGTTTTTTTTATTAATTTTCCAACACTTTACCTGCTCCTTCTCTCTTCACTCTGTTTTAGTCACTTAGTTTTCTACATGAGCTGATGAGTGTGTGTATCTGTACTTGAGTCGTGTGTGTATGTGTGTGTGTGTGTGTGTGTGTGTGTGTGTGTGTGTGGCCAATTCAAAGTACGAATTTATTGTATGTTTCTTCAGTTGTACCTAACATGTATGTTCAAAACATTTTCACTACTTGATAATGATTATTTTTTTTAAAATGATCTTTAAAAACTTGCTAAAAATGACTTCCAGCACTTGAAGATTAGAGTCCCAAGGAAAAAAAATTCCAAATATGTCAGTCATTAAGAACTTTACAAAGCTCCCCTCCCCTCTGGCATTTTAACAACTTCATAGGGTATGGGTATTTCCCATTACAGACAGAAAGTGCGGGCTCAGGTGTTAAGCATCTTCCTGATGGGTTAAGTTGTAAGCCTGAACTGAAAACACTGGTCCGCCTTAAAGACCATGTTCTTCACCTCAGGGCTACCTCTCAAGGAGCCCCTTGTGAAGCACTTCCACCTGCTTGTTGAAAGACACGCCAGGGGTGTTGGGTCATTAAGACAGGCTTCTGGGAGAAGGAAGTCTTTAGACCAGATCCTAAAGGGAGAGTAGAACATGGCCCCGACAAGAAGAACAGGCACACAGCCGCTCACAGGGCGTGCACACAGAGCTTGCTCATTGCTGGAAAAGGTGGAAAAACAGCAGAAAAACATCCTTCATCACAGTGGTTTGCCAAGTATGGCTACAAACACTGACTTTTGGGGTCATGGATGAATTTAGTTTTCATTGATGGGAAGGTTTGAAGGTAACCTGTATTTTGAAAATTTTGAAATTAAACCTCTGGAATCGGGACTGCACTTAACAGGTGAGCATGAAAAGTGCATGCTTTTTAACATTTTAACACTCCACAAAGGCTGTATCGGCAGTTCCCGGACCATAGAGGAAGACCCTATTCCAGAAACAGGGCGAGAGGAAAGAGGGAGGAGATGAGAAGAGGACGTTCCAGATGGAATTACTGAGCAGGAAAGTGAAGCACTGAGTTATGTGAGCAGACTTAACACTCTGGCCCTTTGGTATCAGTGCCGAAGACTAACGCTCTGCATTTCCCTTAAATAATCAGAAACAGGAAACTTAATTTTTAAGTTAAAGGACAGTAATTTCCTGAGGAAACAGTGACTAATGACTTTCCATGGACTGCTTAATTCTTAATTGTGTAAAAGCAGCATCTCATGATTCAAACACTTTGTAATATTTGATCTCCAAATTGCTATGGAATGTGAACTTAAGTCACTTTCCTTGAGACGTAAAATGCAGTAAATCCAGGGCTAGAAGTCCCTGCAGCAATTACTAAGACTCTAAATACAAAACTGACAATACTTTGGCTACAGTGCTGTCACTTCCTCGGCTTCTCTTTGTCTCCCCGGGGGACCTTCCTCCTCTTTCTCACCTCTCTCCTTCTACAATAAATCTTATACCATAAAAAAAAAAGTCGTGTTTACATAGTGTTCGGTAGAGGTGACATCACATCTCGCTGAGCTTAAGCTGCATATGTAGAAATTGCCAGGCTCCTGGCATCTGGGCAGCAGCAGTTGTTCTACCCACGTTTAAGACAGTAACAGCATTCTCTCACCTCTCTGGCTTGATGCCCAGCCTCTCACCACGGTCCATGTTGAGCGTGCCAGCGCCCTGGCCGTAACCATAGCCTTTTGGTCCATACTTCTTTCCGTAGCAGGATTTGCAGTAGATCTCTTCATCATGAATTGCTACTGTTGTGCTGTCTAAATTTTTCCTGCAAACCACTAAGCCCCGGGGAAAAGTTAGATTTTTAAGCATCACTTAACAATGTATATTTTTCTTAAGGCAGTGCTGTCTCCAAGTGACAAAGGCTGTCTCTGTCCCACAGTTTATCCTGTGGTTTCCCAAAAGCTCTGAGCGAGCATCTGCACAGCCCTACCTCACCTAGAGATTGAGTAGCTGCCCTTGGGGTATGTGTGCTAGCTGCTTCGAAAGAACGTTCCTACAGTTTCAACACCAGGGATTCTAACTTTCCCTAGGATTTGCCTATTGGTAGGAGGGAAGGGAGTTTTAGAAGTGCCTATAGAAAGAGTGAATAATGCCTTACTCACAAACTCTTTCAGCTTTTAACACTCATTCTTTCTGACTTGCCACACCAGAAATTGCTGCATCACAACCTGATAAAGAACAAAAGAGTAGTGCTTGCCTTGCCATTGGCCTCTGCTGGTACCCCCACCACCACCACCAAGAGTGCCCTCTGGATAAAAAGATATAAATCCAAAATTCTAGTTTTTATTCCTTGTCTAGAATGAAAAAAGAAAATCATTCTTCCATCTCCCCAGCAGCTTTCCCAGCAGTGATAAGTGGGTCTGAAACTCATCAAGTGGTTTGAAGCCAGCATTTGCTTTTCCTGTCTCAAAGGAGAATACATTCTTTCTTGATGGATTCCTTACCACAAGACATTTCTACGTACCCCACTTCATAAAACTGCCAAATGTCATCATGCTTTATCCAGACATTATTTCACTTTCTAAAACTGCAAATCAGCTTGAGGGAAAAAACCAAAATAAAACATTGTGAGGGAACTCACTGGTGGCAGGCACAGTTGGACAGCTGAAAGTCAAAGCTTAGTGCAGTAGAGGGAGGAATTTCACCCCCTAAAAAGAAGAAGGGAGGTGGACAAAAGAATAGCTGGCCAGCTGGTTTAAAATAAACAATGCCAGGCTTCTGATATCTTAGACTAAGGTGCTCCTTAGAAGAATAAATGGCAGCTACTGTGGACCTCAACTTTAGGCTCAATGCTAAAATTCAGTTGCTTAAGACATTAACCTCCTGACCTTAACGCAAAATAGTCTCAGTACAGCATAAGTACACACAAAATCTGTTCTCAAAAATGTGTATGCTAGGGCTGGAGATGCCGCTCACTGATAGAGCACCTGCCTAGCAAGTACAAAATCCTAGGTTCAACGCTCTCCACTGGAAAACCAAAGCAATCCCGTGTGTTAGCACGACAGTCTGTGCGCTGTCATCCCTCTTCAGCCCTGGCCTCCGCAGCAAATTCTCGAAGATCTGTGACCCTGAATTACCTTGTTAGGGCTTCAGCCAGCAGAGACAAATATTAGGAAAGAGGAACGCTGACAGCAAAGAGCCTGGCAGTTAGTAAATAAACACTGATTTGGTCATGGTGCAACCCTCGGGGCTTAACCCAGAAGAAACTGGGAACAATTTCTAAAGTATTTGCATCTCAGAGTTCCAACATGTTGCTTAGTTACATGCCTGTTGAAATAGATTCCCTTAAAAAAAAAAAAAAAATCACAAAGAGAAAAAAGCCACTACTTCAGAAAAGAAACAGTTCAACCAAATCTAAGGAACAGCGGTCATGATGAAGTCATAAAAAATGCATGTGTAATAATTTTCCTTTTCATAACTACAGCTTTCTGTTACTTTTCACTGTCACTCATGCTGTGCATGAGTGCAGACAGCTCGTAGCTCTCGTATGGAAACAGGAGAGGCCGCATTTGAAAGGTTTTTTTTCTCCTAAATTTTAATTCTTAATGTAAGCAATTTCCTGAGAGCAGTGGCTCTCAGCTTGTGGAGACGGGGTCTCAATGTCTTTTCGATGCCACATGCCTGACTTAGAACTTGAGATCAAACTCAGAGATCTGGGTTTAAAGGTATACGACAGGACACGCTGGCCCAACAAATTTATGTTTAAAATATAGCTGCATACAGTACTTTTCACTGTATAATGCTATGTCTTGTGAATGGGTTGTCTCTTGTTTCTCTCACAGGGTGTTTTTTCTTCAAAACACACAGATAATGTTGCTTTACGTTGCACTTACTGTCTACACCTCTTCACAACACACCTAGTAAACAATAACTCTCAGTGTGCCTGTGTGGGCCCTAGGTATCCCGTTCTCTTCTCCCAAATGAAGAATAACAATTACCGTGAGTAACTAACGCTCAGTATCATAGAGCAGTGGTCCTATGTCAGAAAGGAACCCAGCCGGAAAGAAAGAGAAAACTGGCCACGATCCCCTTACTTATCAAAACTAAGCCAAACACACAGGGTGTGCCAGAAACCTTCAGTAGGTACCAGACTGCCCTCACACCGAAGCAGGGACACGGAGGTGACAAAAGCAAAGGCCAAATGGCCGGAAGGGAGGGCCAGGTGTCTTCCTTCCCTCTACGCTCGGTACTCAAAGTGTCTGAAGACGACAGAGGCATAGAAACCACCTGTCCCTCTAAAATACTACTCTTCGCCAGTGTTAGTTTTCTTCGGGTTATTAAACCGGAGCTTTTACACAGCGTTCTGTCAAGGTGGAGGCAGATACTCACTGCACAGAAAGCAGCAGCGGTGGAAGCTCCGCCCATCACACTGCACCTCCTCCGCGTGGTACACCGTCCTCCCGCAGGCCCCGCACTTATTTCCACCGCCCCAGACAGGCATTCTGCAGAACAAAGGAGGCGTTAGGACGCGCTGCGCTCAGGACACCGTGCGGATCATGCTTCCTCATGAACCACCCAAACCGCATCTTTCAAAGGCCTGCGTTCTTCCAAAATAGCCCCATCTCTTTTCCCAAATTATAGCTCTCATTAGAAAACTGGCTCAGGCAGCGTCTTTTTTTTTTTTTTTTTTTTTCTCTAGAAGACAAAGGACTTGCATTCAGTGGAAGAGACAGGTCACCAAAGTACAATGGGGAATACGCCACCAGAATCCACAGGAATGAATATGGGAGTGGAGGGGCAGACACTGGCCCCTCTCACACCCAGTTCTTAACGAACCTTTTAAAAACTCAGCTGGAAACCTTACATTTAAGTAGAGTCATTTGCTTCATGTTTAATTCACTGTAAAGACATTAAATTCTTAACATTTGATGTGCATAAGCCATGGACATACTTGTATATGCCTGCTAGTGTTCGATCTGGTTATGGCTCAGATAGCTGTCTGTGCCTAGCACACTGCATGGGATCCCCGCGGTCACCACAACAAACACGTCCAGACCGCTGCCAAGAAAGCTGCTGTGCTGCTGTGCACTTCCTAACCCCAGAGGCCCCTGTCCAGCCAACAGTTGGCAGGTTTGTCAGGTTTTTTCAGGTCTGTGAAAGTATGTGGGGACAACCTCCAGACATGGTTTGATGTGATGGGAAACACGAGGTTAAATCCCAGACTATGAAGCAGGAGCAACATTCTAAACTGGCCTCCTGGGACAGCTTTAACCTGGCCAATGTTTGAATGCCAGCATTCTCAACTGCTGGAGCCAGGACACCAAGCCAGCCTGCTGAGAAGGGAACTGACTGGTTTCTGTGGTCCCCTCACTGGTCTCTAACAACACAGTGAAATAGTCCCTTCTCCCAACACCGTTTTGGGGGCTTCCCTTCTGTGAGGGTACTTGCAACCTCTGCCTGCTAAGTTTCTGGATGTGCCCCCTTGCCTTTATCAAATGGCTGGTTCTAAAGGCTGACATTCGATATAAACCCAGAACAGCGTTGATAAGCATGGAAGTGTTAATGAGTTGTTAATCTTCAACATTAAAAGAGGGCAGATTCCCATACAACCATTAAGGTGGGTCCAGAACTCTACTAAGTTAATATTTAATATAGGCCTTCTATATTAAATATTTATACAATCAATCACTGCAGTGGGCACCTTGTCCCTAGACTCTCCTCCAGAGTAGTGTGGAGGGAACATTTCTCCTAGCACATACAGGTTTGAAACGACCACTTCAAGGTAAACTTCAGGCAAGCATTTGGAAACTTGAGTTCGTGTGCCATTAGTATTCACAAAAACTCATGCTGAAATTTAATTCCTCCATATGGCAGATTAAGGGGGTTGGGGCCTAGTGGTAGTACTTGGGTCCTGGGGATTCCATGGTTACACAGAGGGGGTGTATTCTCGCAATGGAGGGCTGTTAGAAAGCCCATCCTCTCTGTATCTGTATGAACACGCCTGTCTACCCTTCCACTTTTCCACACATGGGACAGCCTGTAGCTCCGTGGTAACCAATCCTAGACCTCACGGCCACCAGAACCATTAGCCAGAACCAACTCCTTTATAATGTAATCCAGGGTGTGTTATAGCAAAAGAAAATAGACTAAGACAAGGATGACCACGAGTGTGCAGAGTCAGTGTGCCCAAGTCTTGTTTCAGAAAAACCAGATAACACGCCACCAAAGGGGACAGGAGATGGGGGCAAGGCAGAAAGGAGTGTGGGCTCACGGACAGAAAGCAACAGCAAAAAAGGAGGAGTCCCATACCCCGAGGCAGGAGGAAGGAAGGGGCTTCCATACTGAGCTAGACAAACATGGGCTCTGGGCAACCAGAATATATCTGGACTTTCTCAAAAGCCCTGGCATGTGCAGTGTCTGCTAAGAAAGAATCCAGGCATCCTAGTGTCTTTGTTTATGCTATAGGAGTTTGGGATGCCACCAGGTCACCTGCCGAGCAAAACAGGTCGTGTCGGTCAGATTCCTGCAGAGAGCTGCAGCACACGCGGCTTGAAAGCACTGGTTTCCCGGGTACTGACTCTGCTGGCCTTAGCCTGTTTTGTGCTGCTCTAACAGATTCGGGCTGCACGATCTATTAAGAACAGAAATGGATTTCTCGGAGTTCTCAAGGCAGGAAATTTCAAACTGCAGGTAGGCTTGGTGTCTGGTCGGAGAGCCTGGCCTCTGCTTCCAAGATTGCCTTCAACGGGGAGACACCATCCTCACATGGCAAAAGAGCAAGAAAGGACACCTACTCCTGCAAGCCTCTTACGAGGGGCATTACTCCATTTCGTCCTCAGTTTGCTGCACCCTGCCTCCCAACAATTTAGCACTGGGGTTTGGGTTTCAAACAGGCATTTTGGACCAAAGCAACCTCTCACACCATGGCAACTGTGAGCCAGGTATGAACACGAAACCTTCTCCTGCCAGTCGAGTTCAGCAAAAGGTGAACCCAGAGCTGTGCTTTAGAACAGGGTGAATAAAGAGTAGATACTGTAAACAAAAGACCCGAGAGCCCATGGTGCCACGCACAGAGGAAGAGAAACGTGCTGAGTCTTTGAGCCCCTGATTTGGCTGAACTGAACTCCTCGCTTAGATGAGACACTGAATTTGATTTTCAAACCATGTGAGACCAGAGCCTGTTCCTTGAAATAAACAGTACCAACATCCCTCCGCACAGAGTCCAGACTGATAGCACTAGTTAGCACTAAGTCTCGGGTATCGATTTGCAAAAAAGAAACCGCTTCTGCCAGACAGAAATAAAAGCATTCCAAGGGCCTGCAAGTGTTACAAGCTTGCCACCCACTCTGACTTTCCCTTTTGATGTTGCGTCTGCCTTTCATTCCCCTCCGTGAAAACAGGTGCTTCATTGTTTAAACTCCAAGTGAAACTTAAGCCCGACCATAAACCCTAGACACAGAATACTAGCTCCAACAGCCCGTGTTGGCTTGAGTTTGAAATATGATTAGAGATTGACAGTGACTGCCCTTGCCTCCAAGGTCACCCACTCGTGCGCATTCTGCTCAAGGATGCAAGAGGCATCTGCTGGAGGGTCCCTCATCAGTCCTGAAGAGGCCAGAGGTCAAATCCAGACTTACATGTAGCCATTTGGCTATTGAGGCACTCCTATTATCAAGGTGTGTCCCCTCATATTAAACCTGAGCAGTTTACTGTCAGCCTGGTAGCCAGCTTTCTTTGATCCTGGTATCCGTCTTTGGAGCAATCTCAATGAGGAAACACAACTCCGTCAAGACCAAGGTTAGATCAAGTTGTCCTTGAATAACATTCAGACATATTTTAAGAGAAGAGACCAGACTGGCCACGTATGCCGTTCTTTCCAGTGAAAAGCAGTCGCAGTTCGTTTGTCTAAGGAGTTAATATGTCCCCTTTCTATGCGGTAGCAGTTACTATCAGTCCTCTCTTACTCTCCCGTGCATGGCACTGCAGCCAACGGTGGGTACCTGGCATTTAATTTACCTGGGCCTTCTATAACGCTCTGCTTGCAATGTACTTAGCTTTTCTGCTTCGACCACACCTTGGACTTCTCCCACTTGCTACCAGTTCATGTAGCTTGTATCTAGACATTAACGTCCCATCCATCTTAAGGGCTTTCTGAAGAACCCTTTCTTTGTTGTAGGCAAAAGCATGCACAGGGAGCCCCGGTGGGGCTCGTGGTCTGTTTTGGAACAGCCGACGGGTAGTTGCAGTCAGTTCCCATCTATATGTTTTGTATGTGTACTCATCCCGCACGCAGAGCCAAAGAGAAGAGAACTCTTGGCTGCTTGGTCCCTCATGAGCCTCATTCCCGGACACTGAAATGTCTGACGACGCCCCACTTCCAGTACTGCCGGCCTAAGAAAAGAAGTTCATCTTCACACATTGAGTCTGAATCCCTATGGCCGGGACCCGAATTTGGCAGGAGAACATATGATAACCTTCCATTTCTGTCACTCTTGGCAATGCTGTGCATATTTTTAAGAAATGCAAGGCTTCGTTTTTTGTTTTTTGTTTTTTTCCTCCAAGCCTTTGGCCGTGCTCCTCTGCAACAGCTGCCATTAATCACAGCAGAATGGCTCTGCCCTGAGCAATCTGGGCCACATGCCTTTCCCCAATCCTATGCGCTCATTTACAGAATGTTCAGAGCACAAATAAAATCCCACTTTCCACACATCTTACAGTGTAGGCCAAACACTGGCTTTCTCTGCTTTTAGTCTTGTTCTTGGGTTTTCAATGTAACTTTCAGAACTAGAACTTACCCATTGCACTGGACTGAAATGCCTTGTTTACATGCCAAAACATAAAGCATGCTAATACATATGTGAACCCTTCCCTTCCTGCTTCTCCTCAGTCTAAAACACCAACCCAAATCCAAGAGACTTATCCTTCTGAGACATGACTAGAGGCTAAATCTGACTCACCTGGTATGTTTCTCTTCTTCAGGTGACCAATGAGACCTGCAAAGTGACCATGAGGGTCAAGTCATTCTCTAATGTGTGTGTGACTTTATTTTTAAGATCTATTTTTACTTTATATATTTGGCCATTTTGCCTGCACATCTGTCTATGTATCTTTCACATGGATGCAGTGCCTGTAGAGGCCAAAAGGGGGCAACTGATTTCTGGAACGGTATTACATTGATTTTGAGCCATCGTGTGGGTCCTGGGACCCAAATTCCAGTCCTCTGTAAGAGTATCAAGTGCTTTTTTAACCAGTGAGCTCTCTCTCCAGCCCCATGGACCAAGCCATCCTTCTACTGCTGGTTCTGTAGAACCTCAAAAGAACAAACCTGTTGTCTTTAGGTGTATAAGTCCCTGTTTAGGAGCTGAAGTCACCTGACCTAATAGTACTAACGGTTCGGAGTGGCTCTGTGAATAAATCCAGACTTTCAAGGCTCCCAGCTTCAACACTTCCACATAAAAGGCTTCGCTGTTATCCTAGAAACTTGGCTATTGTCTACTCTCTC